TCACCATGATCATCATCATCACCATTTATTTAACTACGTTTTTCCTTAAGAGAGGATGTCTCGCTTAGAATACGTAAGTGAAATTCATGGTACAATTGTAAATAATCAAAAAACGAATGAAAGAATAAAGTAATTAATTAATTGATCAGTTAATTAATTAGTTAAGTTAGTAAGTAATAAGAGTATATTACACTTTACCTGGCAAAAGGCATAGTCAATCTGTTGAGATGGCGAGTTTTTGCTCGTAAACACAAGACTGTCAGATAAGGTGAAGTTATCGACTGGAAGGTTTGTATAAGCCATCCAGTTCTACAACAACGAAAAAAAAAACGACATTTAAGGTTAGTGAGTCAGTTATCCAACGAATTGGACCAGTCCCTATCATGAGAAGTTTTACTCAAGTAGGAACCTGATTATAATTTAACAAAAAGAGTACTGAGCTGATAACCTAAGTATATCATTTTATAAAACCTTATGGTAAGGTTTAATTTGAGTACCTTTACTCATTTACACATGGTAGCAGAGATTTGATTGCACTGACAGTTTTTGCTTCTTTTAATTTGGTTTTTGTTTACTTTTTTCACCAAATGTCTTGAAGGTGGTTCTAATAGAATCACTTACCTTTCTTACCTTACTGTAGGTATTTTATACACATATTTGTCCTTTTTTATGTAGTTTAGGCACTAATAAAGGAATAACTGCGAGGAATGATATTTCAAAACTAAAAATGTATGGTTAGTTCGACTATTTATTTGTAAGTATTCTGGTAAATTTTGTATACAATACAATATATGTGTAGCTAAGAAAAGTCGATGCAATTGGATACAGGTCTTTAAAAAAGTATTTTATCTCTGCTTACAATAGTAATGCCTTTGTGAAGTCCGTCGAAAATTTTCACTTCCCTAAGACAGATTTTAAAACTGTATTCGGTCAACTCCTCCACCCACACTGCCATGGCGTCTTGAGGTCTCTCAGGAAACCGGTGACTAGGAGTCGCAAGTACGATTGGAGGTGTCGCAAAACGCTTTAAATAAGAAAAGAAAAAAGATGAATGAGTTAAAGGACGTTGAAAAAAAAAAAGACAAAGAAAATTTACAACTCATTCATCACGTTGTAAACACCAAAAATTATAATCAGAGACCGTGAATTAAGTTAAATGGAGCAATCTAGTAAACAGTGCTTCATCTCTGTACAACAACAGCAGCAGCAGCAGCAGCAGCTGCAACAACAACAAAAAGAATCTTTCTGATTTATTTATACGCACGATTCATAATATTACACAGACTTTCACCCACATACAGAAAAAACTTCTTTTGGAAGGAGACACTCACATTGAAGCCGTGAGAAAAGGACAAAAATATTTTACCAACAGTACGTACCAGCTATCGTAAAATATAATTACTTTGTGTAAAGTTATTTAAATTACAACACAAATTTGGCCAAAAATACAAGTTATATCTTCTAATATCTTTCCTAAATAATTTAATTTCAGTTTGTGTACTGTCTTTAATGATTATATTTCATGAAAGATTCTCGAAATAGATTTACGGTGGCGAGAGTAAGCCTGGCTTCTAATGCCAATGTTTTATTGCTTTTCGACTCGCATATATGAGAGTGTAATATTAATCAAATACGGATGAAAGAATGAGAGGGCTTGAGGTCGGGGAGTGGGGGTAGGTGATAATGTGAGTGGGCTAGTGTGGATCATGGAGTGGACATCTGTCTTAGTTATAATACTGCGCATTCCAAAAAAAAAAAAAACAGTTAAACAAAATACAGGAAAACAAAGAGGGAGAGCCGCGCAACAAAAGATCACAGTACAAAGTTCGCTGTTTCATTGAATTAATCGTCCTGAAAACAAACTAATGATTCACCTTTAAGACTTCTATCATCATTTCGTGTTAAGTCATGAAGTCCGTGCATAATAGCACGTACATTGTATATAGGTAATTGAACTTGAAACTTAAGTGACGTCAATTTATTGATTGAACAGCTGGTTAAGTTCCTTAAGAAGAATCGCATTTGCGGTCGTCAGTTACATCTTTCAACTATACCTTACATGACTGACCAGTTTCTGCCTTTTTTAGATTAATTCCGCATAGGCACTTTGTAGGTAATCATGGCATAATTGAACGTACCTGAGGAAAGACGATCTTCTTACATTCTGTTCCGGTAGTCCAAGAGTCCAAGGAAGTGACTCCTAGTTGTGCTCCTTTGGGAGCAGATTGTAGGGCAACCCAGTTTATCTCAGCAGTTGAATTTGAGCCGTTGCTGTACTCGTAGATACAAGCGCGGAATTGAGTTCTATCTGCTGATTCCACCCAAATAGCAGCACCATTACCACGGGCCTTGTTGTTAACAGAGTGACCAAAGGAAGCAAAGACTTTTACTTGCTTTCCACCAGAGAACGGTTCAGCAAATGTGATTGTCTCACAAGCGAACAATCCTGGACTTTTGACAGTGACGTTGTTTTTTTCAGCTTTGAAACTGATTGCTATAA